CTTTTCTTTATCCCCCCCCCCCCCCCCCAATATGTTTCTGGTACCTGGTCTCTAATAATTGCCTCAAATGAGCCCCCCCCCAAATGTTCATTTGATCTCCCACAAGGGATGGATGACTCAGCTGAAAAAGGTGGAAGATGGGAGTTTGCATTCCACTCTACTCACAGAATGGAAAATGGAGTTGTGATGACAAGGCTGGTGGTTCTTGTCCTCGCCTCTCTACAGCCACTCTCTCTTCTCTTTCCTCTGTGGGCACAGACAGTTGAAGGGATCAAGTAACAAACATGCTTAACCAGTTCAGCCCCCATTTTGTGTATTTATCTAGTCTGCCCAGTGAAGTACAGGAACCCAAGAACAAGTGTTACCTCTCAGTACAAAATATACAAAATATACACTGATATTCTTTTCCAGTCCTCAGATACTCCAAATAGTGTGCACCCTGGATAGAATTGAGATTATTGATGGGGAACTTTGTAAATGTCTTTAGACATGTATAATTATCTCTACAGTATTATTTATTTTCAAAAATCATAGTGTTGGAAATATCCATCTTAATACTGATATTAAACCCCCAAATTTGTAGGTAAGAGTTTAAAAAAAGAGTCCTCTGCGTTCATCCTTCAGGTACTACAAAACTGAAAGAAGCTGGGCAGAATCCTTTATGGGAAATAACACTTCCTATTTTGCCCCCTGAGATTCAAAACTGTAAGTCCTTGTTCCACAGACAAATCCTGACAGCACAAATGACTCCTTAGTGTCAACCGGGGATGCTAAGAACATTTAGAACAATTGTATCGGGTCAGAGCAGACATCCGTCTAGCCCAGCATCCTGTCTGGTGGGGCCTTAGCGGATGCCTAGGAAAGTGTATGAGAACAGAGCGAGCATAAAATGGTGCTTCAAACATCACCTGGTGATTTGTAGCTCAGAGATTTTTATCATGAAGAAAAGTGTCTTGGAAGGAAGGAAGGAAGTTAGGCATCGGTAGAGGTTTTTCCCCCCTTTTTTTTCATACCTTGTTTTTTTTCAATACTTACAAACTTTCAGACTCCACAGCCTATTGGCAAGTATTTCCACAACCCAGCGACACGTTGTGTCGTGAGCCACGTCCTTCTATTTCTTTTGAATCTGTCAGCGCTACCTTTATTTGAAGGTCTCTAGGTCACTCACAACTTGAAGTCTTGTTTCACATCAGTCATCTTCTTTCCATGTGGAAGACTGCTAGCATTTTTAGTTGCTTCTTGTATAGAAGCTACCCCGTACCTTTGATCGCCTGTATAATCCTTTGCCAGTTCTACTTTATTTTTTTGAGATGAGGAGCAGAACTGATTTCACTGACTCTCATCTTCCAACACCGAGAAATGTAGACTAATGCACAATGTACCAACGCTAATGCAAACCCCAGTCCTGACTTTGCAGGTCAAACGATGTGCTCTCATCCTTGAGGAGCGGCAGGAGTGGGGCTGCTCCGCAGGGGAAGGTGAGCCAGAAGCCGAGGGTGACAGCGAGGCGGAGGGCTGTCGCCACCTCACTGTCGTGGTTTAACCCCAGCCAGCAACTAAGCACCTTGCAGCCGCTCACTCACTCCCCCCCACCCAGTGGGATGGGGGAGAAAATCGGGAAAAAGAAGTAAAACTCCTGGGTTGAGATAAGAACAGTTAGATAGAATAGAACAGAAAAGAAGAAACTAATAATGATAATGAGAACACTAATAAAATGAGAACAGTAATAATAAAAGGATTGGAATGTACAAATGATGCGCAGGGCAATTGCTCACCACCCGCCGACCGACACCCAGTTAGTCCAGTCAGCTGCCCTGGCTGTGTCCTGTGCCAACTTCTTGTGCCCTCCAGCTTTCTCGCTGGCTGGGCTTGAGAAGCTGAAAAATCCTTGACTTTAGACTAAACACTACTTAGCAACAACTGAAAACATCAGCGTTATCAACATTCTTCGCATACTGAACCCAAAACATAGCGCTGTACCAGCTACTAGGAAGACAGTTAACTCCATCCCAGCTGAAACCAGGACACTCACTCACGAGAGGCGCGGTCCCACGCCAGCCAAAACCCAAGAGCTCGCACAAAAGTGGCGGCCAGGTTCAGCCGGCGGACCCGCGGCTGCCACGCGAGCCCCTGGCAACGAGGCAGCCCCGAGGTGGAGCCAGGAAGGCACGTCGCCAAGCCAGGGACGGCAAGGACGGGCACAGGCACGGCGGCCATGGGGCTCGGGGCCTGAGCTTACCTGCGGCTCCCCCCGAGGGCTGGGGACCCCCAACAGAGCCCCTTGGCATGGCGCTGTCGCCTGGGCTGCCACAGCAGCACCCCACCAGAGCCCCCGTCAGCCGCCCCGAAGAGGTGGCAGAGCTTCTGCCTCTCGTGCAGGGCCCCGGCAGCCACGACGTAGCAATGAGAAGCTGGAAGCGAAAAATGGATTGTTTTGAGCAAAGAAGTGGAGAAAAACCTCAGGCAGCTGTTGTCACAAAGCCATTATGTGTCTTTTAACTGCTAGATGCAGTTTTACCTTTCTATCACAACAAATGTAATAATTGTTGTCGGTTCGTTTTTTTGAAATGTTTGAAATCTTCTGTACGTTCTCCAAATGAAGTGGAAAGATTTGGCTCCCTTTATTTCATGGTTTTCCTTGTTTGTCTGTTTGGAATATCCTTTCTTCTCTGTTGCTTCCCAAATCAAAATACATTTGCACTCCAGGCTGTGATTCATGCTACTCTGGTTTAAACTTACACAGGAAAAGATAATATAATATCTGGAACCGCAGAATGTAACAGACCATCTAACAGCTTCAAAATTGGGAAAACCTGTTTGAAATAGATGTGAGGAAAGCATGTACTATTTCTTAAAAATAAAGAAGTGAAGCAATGCAAATTCTCTTTTCAGACATTTAGATCATTATTCCCTCAAAGTGAGTGGCAAAATCCGGTTAACTTCATTAAGAGTTAGAATTTAACCCAGAAGAATACCACAGCTATACAAATCAAGGAAGACAGTACTTCTGGAGCCCCTTGTCAGCTTGTGTATGTTGTTTGTTTGAGGTAACCAAGACCCTGGATGCCTCTACATCTGTGTGGGTATATAAATATTCATGGACTTTCTGAACTCAGTTTAGATCTTTCACCTTGATCCATCAGGTCATCTTAAAAAGGAAATTAGACTTGCCTCAAAATCCTATTTATACAATAGTGCTGCTGCGGGTCAGATTTGACACTTACCTCCACTTCTTCATGGCTCTTCAGCTGTGAGCCTGTGAGTCACAGCTAATGTCACTTAGCATTGGTTGCCAAAGCAAGAACTTTGTGAAAAGTTATCCTCAGGCCATGAAAGAGGTTGTTATCCTCAGGTAGTAGAAAGAACTACAGAAAGCAATTTTTCTGTTTGCGACACTTTTGAGGTAACAGTAGTTGGAATAAATGAAAAAGGATGCCAAGCGAGCAAAACTGCTCAAGGACTGTACAACAATGCGACTTACCTGCTACAGGTACAGCTTCAGGAAATGACTCACCACTGGTAGCAACAAAAATTCCAAGGAAAGGCTAAGGCCAGGGTGCAAAACTGGATAGGTTTTGTTCTCTTTTAGATAACAACTTCCTTCAAAAAAATTGAATACATCGAAAATAAAATAAACTGAAGGATTGCGCCATCCCCGTGGTACACAAAAAAACCATTAAATTGATTGAATCTGACTGGTACTATCAATTTTGCTAGAACATCTTTCAGAGAATGATAAACCAAAATGCTTCTTAGCTGGTGCTGCAAATTCACCACTTCTATTTATAATACAGATAGAAGACAAAAATTTTAAACAGTCAAGTTTTCTATTTGCCTTTAGTCACCTTTGAACAAATCCTGAACTGGGAGTGACCTGGAGATAGCCTGGCCCAAAGATAATTTTGAGTTTCTTCTTTTCTCTCAGTCCCAAGCACCCATGCCCATAGTATTTCCAGAACTGTAAGATTTTGAATTATAATTATTCTTTCCCTAATATACTTAAAATTATACATTATTTTAACAACAACAAAAAAAAGATCTTCTTGTTTACCTGCTAATATTCTTTTTTTCCAAAGGTTTTATTTACAGGCTCATCCTCCAAAACCTGGGGAATAGGAATTCCATTTTAAAAAGTCATCCCCTGCAAAAGCTGATATTCTCAGGCAATCATGTAACTCAGATATTAAGAAAAATACCAGATGTTATAAAGTTGGCAGTAAACACATGAAAACATTTTAAATCCTTCTTCTCAGTGATGAAGCAAGGCAGCGTCAATATACAGATTTGTATAGTAAATTAATTACAATATTTGCATTTTTAAAGCTAACACCATATGGAGCATAACACACAAGGGACAGCAATCCTTGTGTATTATTTTCTTCGGAGTTACTCTTTTTTTCAGTAAAAGGAAAACTTTGTCTGAAAACTACCTTGGCTATTCTGATTTTAAGGTGTGATTTTGTGTTAGTAAAACTACATCTAAAGTGTAAAACAGTATTTACAGACCAGGTGAGCCCTGGTCATTAGTCTAAATGAAATTTGCGTTTTATCGGGAAATACACATTGCTAACTGGGGGAAAAAAAAAAGACAACCACAACAAAGTAAAATATTAATATATATTTGTTTTGGAGGCATAAATTCGCATATGCTGTAATAAAGAAGCTTATGACTGCCAGTGTGTTTACCACTCTCACTAGCCAATGATGCATTCTTTGTGTCAACAGTGTGTATTTGCTCAGGAAACATTAGTTCCTGTCAGCATCTGCGTATTTTACTGGCAACAAAAGTGATGTAGTAAACAGCCATGTCATGGAAAGTTCGGGTCTGCTGAAATGCCAGTCTCTCCTCCTTTCTAGCCAGTATTCTAACACTCAAACCAAATGCAACCAAAGCACTCATTCCTGCTCAATAAATGCTCAGCTTATTCTCTCTTCTGCTATTTATATCCATTTCTGTCATTGCAAGGCCCCATTTTAGAAGCTGATGCATTGTGATTTTTACAGCACAGGAGATGAGAGGTGCTTCTGCACAGCTCTCCCTTCCTCCCATCGTCTCCCTCCCAGATCACTGCTCCTCTGCTGTTAGAAAAACTGCATGCTACTTTTGCTGAATTAAACTCTCTGTAGCCTTTAATTAAACTTTCAGTGCTCCTGTTAATAGCCATTCTTATTTGGGTGTAACTTAATGATAATAGCTACCCTGTAAAAATATGCTGCTTTCAAGGATGAAATGTCACCATCTAATCTTTTCTCCTTCATTTATTTTTGGCTTTCCTTTACTGGAATGTTTCTTATCAGCTTGCCCTGTCAGAAGACATAAACTCTTTCTAAAAACTAATTCTCCTCTGCTGAATACTAACAACCTGGCACTGGAGAGAGGCTCTACATGGAGCCACGTCTGTGCTTTGCCTCTGTTAGAGCTGAATAAGAAAACGTACAGTTCAAATCTGATGTATTTTTTACTTGAAAAAGAGCAGAAGAGATAAATATAGCCTCAGTTAGACAGGAAAGAAGGCTTTGTGAGAGTGTTAAATCCTACATTTGATACATTTAGTTATTATTTCTGAAGCTGTTTTATCTCAGTCCACTTAAAGTAGATTGGATACAATTACTTTTGCTATATTGAGAACCATTCTCTAAAAAACCCTTACAAAATAATGTGGCAAATTTACAAACTCTTTCTTTCTCTCTAGTTTTCATGCAAATAGTTGTGGTTGTGCTCCTTGTAAATCTGAAGAGTCTACCATGAAACTTGAACGCTTTTGCTTCTGGACAATACGAATACTTTTGTATCTGACATTCTGATAATTCAACTGTTTAGCACATCTGTTGGTAACATCCAGTTAATTCTCACACAGCTGTGTTAGATCACCAAGGCTAACAAATGTTAACTCTACTAAAAAAATGTATTTTGCGCATTAAAATAAGCTGATACAATTTAAAAAACCCTGCAGTTTAGTAAAAATACCTCTTATTTCTACTCCATTTTCAAGAAGAGTTAGGACAATGAAGCAAGTAACACATTGTGTTTAATAAATTTTATATTGTGTGTTATGACTCATTTTATCAATTATGGAAATGTAACTGTCTGGAATGGATGGTAATAAACAATTGCTCACAGTGATGAGAAAAACAAAGTGGTTTTTTAAGCAGGGACTCTTTGTGACCTACAGAAAAGAAAAAAATTGATAAATAACATTTTAATGAAACCCATGCCTGGGGCCTTAGTAAAAGCTACTTAATGTTCATCTAGCATATACAGAAAATTGGATTCTGCACTAATGTACCTAAATATAGACCAAACATAAACCCAAGGACTCAATGTTTAATCACCATTATTTGACAATTTTTGCCATTACCAATGGCAGAAATGTTGCCATCGGTCTTTCAGTTGTCCTCCAGAATACCTCCGCAGAGGGAGCAGTCCATCTCCTTACAAACAGTTGAGTCTGTGTTTCAGGAAAACAAAGAGAATGTGTGTACCAGATGTGATTAGAGCCAGCTGAGATTTTTCTGCTGAAATGATTTACTGGTGCAACAAGCTCTTTGTACCAAGTGCAGTTCATCCTGGTAAATTTTTGAAGTCCTCATTTTCCATCAGAAAGCTCACAGCAAAACACTTCCTTTCAACTTGATTTGATCCTAACCAGAATGTTTTCTGTGTCGCCTTATGAGTCCTGTATTTCTACCTTCTGGTCTCTCCCTGGGGTCAGGCTACAACTCCCGCACAGGACTGTGAAGATTTCAAGAGCATCGCAGGACTGGTGGGATTCTTGGTGCATAGTGAGCACTGTTGTCTGGCCACAATGTCTGACACACTGGGAATCTCTATTGCAATCCAGTTATCGCCCTCCTCCTCAAGGGTAACATTGCACCAGGGAAGATACGGATTAACATTAGAATAGCTGGAAATTGAGCACTTCAGGTCATTTTACCAAGCCAAGAATAAGTAGTTCAATCTGAAGGATTTTTTAAGAGCTTTGAAATGAAATTGCCGACATTTCTTGCCTTACACTTGTCAGAAGTTCCCATTTGAGAAAGGAGAGTAAATACATATCAAGTTCTTTAGACTTGCCCCCAGAAATTGATCATATCTGTAGAAGGAGAATCCAATCTGAGAGGTTGTCTTCCAAACTGTTTTGCTTCCTAGAGCACTTTACTAGTGCTGCTGTAGAGAGCAGCACGTCGCCCCTTCAAGAATACAGAAATATCTCAGC